TGCAGTGCCCCGCCGGCACGACCTGGATCGGCACAGCTCACCAGTGCTGCGAGCCGTGCCCCGCAGGTGAGCGCTGCCCGGTCCGTGTGCCATGGCACAGCACGTGCATTGCTCCCGGTGGCCGTACTCCCTTGTCACCCCACTGTCCCTGCAGGGACATTCCTGCACGAGGCCTGCACAAGCCCTGAGAATAAAAGCGACTGCCGCCCCTGCCCTGACGGCACCTTTCGCACCCAGCCCAACATCCTCAAGGAGTGCCAGGCTTGCTACGAGTGTGACCGACAAGGTGAGCCGGCGGCACGCCACACCGTGCTGTGCTCTGCAGCGCGGTGCCATGCTGCTCACCGCCTGCTTTCTGCAGCTTTCCAGAGTGTGCTGAGCAACTGCTCGGCCACCAGCAACGTCGCCTGTGGCTGTGAGCCCGGCCGCTTCCGTGTCTGCTTTGACAAGCAGTGCAGCGAATTCTCTTGCCGGAAATGCCAGTCCTGCACCGGACGCCTCATCCAGCGACCCTGTGAGTGCTAACAGCTGCCCCACGGCACAACCTGCCAGCTGTGCCACCTCTGGCTGTGCCACCCTGCCTCACGCCCACCCTCTCCCCAGGCTCGGAGGCACAGGACACACTTTGCGACAGCAGCTGCAAGCCTGACTTCTACAGAGAGGGTGATGAGTGCCGGCCGTGCCACACGTAAGCATTGACCATCCAGCCAGGAACGCATGTGGGGCCCATGGCATGGCACAGCATGGCACCCATGGGTCCCATCTCCTTGCAGGAGCACCCTCGACAAGTGTGGCAAAGAGTGCCAGCAAGTGTGCGGCAGCAACAGTGACCAAGGTATGGGGACAATGGGGCCAGGGCTGGTGGTGTACAGTCACCGTGCTGGTCAGCTGATGGGAATGCTCCTGCTCCTCCTTTCAGGCTCAGGTCTGGAGTACATCCTGCTGGGACTCACCGGGCCTCTCTTCCTGGGTGCCCTTGCCATCTACCACAAGAGGAAGAGGCTCTGGCATGGCGCCCTGGCAGGTGGTCCCCTCCCCATGGCACAGGCTGGGGTTGCAGCCACACCGTGGTGCCAGTTTAATGCCCGGAGGTGGGACAACTTCTGCTGGATCCCGCCATACTCCCCACCGGGGACAGAGCGTGTCACTGACACAGCAAACCAGAGGCTCAAACACCAGGCCTCGTGGCCTGAGCAGCCTAGTGATGAAGGGGAGCCCTCTGCACCCCCAGAGCCCCGTGGTGCCCTGCTGCAGGGCAGCCAGCTCTATGCCGTCATCGACGTGGTGCCAGTACGGCGTTGGAAGGAGTTCATGCGGATGCTGGAGCTGCGGGAAGCAGAGATTGAGCTGGTAGAGCTGGAGGTGGCCCACATCCGTGACCAGCAGTATGAGATGCTGAAGCGCTGGTGCCAGCAGACCAGTGCCACACTGGACCACGTCTTTGCTGCCCTGGAGCGCATGGAGCTGGCTGGCTGTGCTGAGGCACTGCGCCAGAGTCTGCCCGTGGGACACTGATCCCCACCGTCAGCACCCTGGCACAGGGAGGTCCCACCACCTCCACATCTCACTGGGCACCTCATCCCAGCCATACCCCTAAGTATTGTTACTTATGCCGTGTAGACATTTTATGTCAGTTTTATGTCCCCTTCTCACCTGCCTGTCCCCTCTATTTATGGCCCCCTGCTCCCAGGGCCGGGGAGGACCCCACGCCCCAGCACATCGGCTGCCCAGCCACTCGCGGGACGAGCAGGCACCGAGCCCACCGCGAACCCATGGGATAGTTCTCAAGGCTGCCCACTGCCGGGCGCTCCCTCCCCCTCCCCAATAAAGTGGTGTGTTCTCCAGCCGCCCACCCTGGCCCTTCCTCGCAAGGCTGCGTCAGCCGGGCACCAGGGCACTGCTGGCCTCTGGGCCACCACTGGTGATGTGGTCACCACAGGTGACAGGGAATGCGGGTGCTG